ATGTTTGTAAGTGATTATGCCGCTGAGTGCTCAGCAGTCGGTGTGCTACCAGAACCAGTTCGTTGGCACGTTGAGGATGTAGCTGGGAACAGCGGGTGCAAGGGCGCAGTGCTGCAAATGGGAGTGTAATTGCTATGTGGCAATGGTTAAATTAGCAATTGATTATGATGAAGGAAGTGACTAGTCGCTCAAATGTAAAAAAAAACAAAAACAAAAACAAACATGCTGGAGTGCCACTCGAAACGTAAACAAAGTTGAAGAAAACAAAGGTAAGCGGAAAGCTGAACTAAAATGGTGCAATTAAGGCGAATTTAATTTCGCAAGGAGAAAAGTGTAAATATTGCAAAAAAAGAGGTAATGGATCTCCGCCAGTAAGGGTACACACGTTTTCTTTAACAAATGTTGAGGTTTGCTACGGTACACGCAAAAACTTTGCTACGCGCCCAAACGTATGCTTCGAAAATATCACTTTCAGAAACAACTCTCATACAATTTTATTCACCAGTGTTGCCAGAAATTTTTTCGTGAAAAATTTGCCAAGTGAAGAGTAATAGCCGATTTCACTAGCAATTTAAATGGAAAATGATTTTTTTTTGCTGTAAATTTCCATAAAAAAGTCGAAAAATTAAAATTATTTTTCAATTGCTTTTCTTCAATTGGCTGTAAATCTTCAAAAATTGGAAAATATTAAAAAAAAAAATCCAACAAAAACTTTGCGAAAGAAATATTTTTTTAGAAATGTTAAGCTAAAATCAAATTAAATTTAGTTTATATCTCAACAATATAAAGTTTAACACCGTGGGACAAAAAAAATCTATACACACGAAACAGTCATCTACGAAATATGGTAAAACTGCGCTTTTAAAACTTCTCTCTGATGAGGGAATTTTTTAGAAGGACTTTTAAATATCAAAAATATGATTTAAAAAATTCTGTGCAGTGTAGAATAACAATATGCCTATCAAATCCTGAAGAATTAAAAAAAAATGTTTTTTTGGTTCACAAGGACGAATAGCTACTAAAAATGCTCTTTTAATTACTTTTATTCTTTATGGTATTAAAGTAAGAAGGACGATATCGAGGATTTGTTCTTATTTATGTATATTAGTCCTTCATTTATAACTTTTTCAAAAACTGTTATTGCAAAATTTCAAGGATATTTAATGACAACATTTTAAAGGAACCAAAAAATTTAATTTGCTTTAGTTCTAGAGATTTTTTTTTTTTAATTTGATACCCCTTTTTTTATTGCACTACATTTTTATATTTTTTTTTTTTTAATTTTCAAACTTCAAAGTCCTTTTAAAGAAAATTTTGACTTCGGAGAGAAAAACTAAAAACGCAATTTTACCATTTTTTACCTGTAGTTTCGCGAACATATTGATTTGTGTATGTGTGAAATTGACTGTCGCACACCGTTATAAACAAACAAAATCTAAGTAAATTTTAATCCAGCCGAAACAGGTACAATTTACCTGCAATTTTTATGAATGTCATGCTAACATAAAAATTGCAAAAAGTTGCAAGTTGTAGATATTGAAAATGATCAATGTAAAAATTATGATGCATAATTTTTGGACGGCAGACTTTATAATAATACCCAAAATTTATTTGAAATTGAAAGCTTATTGCGTCTAATTTTGAATGCCGTATGGCAATTTCATGAAATCTAACTGGCGAACAAGAAATATGAAAATTCAAAATTACAAAAAAAAAAATAAAAATGTCATCATATTCAATGAATGGTTTTGCTTTAAAAGTGTATTTAGTACTTTTCTGATTAGACGCATAGCGTGTGTAGACGTGTATTTCCTTGGTACTGTACAAACCACGAAACCCCAAAAATACAAAATTTCGAAAAATAAAAAATTTTGATATATACTGGATACGATTTCGAGGAAAAAGCCTACTTAGCGGTTTTTTGACAAGTCGCATCGTTTACGTGAAAAAAATTTCCCACAAGAATGCTTTTTATATACAAATTATTTACGACTTGTAAATTATAGCTTTAAAATGTCTAAATATTTCTCAATTTACATTTGAAAAAATTTTTGTGGTACTCGTATTTCATTATTTTTAAGTCAATTTTTGTGAAAAGCATGCCATTTTAAATTTTTGGTGTCCATCTTGTTACCAATTTTTGTTTTCTTAAAATTTATCTGCGAGAAAACCGTTTCCAATTTTGCTGTAAGAACCACATAGAAAATCTTCAAGTACTGTCAGAACTCTCCATACTGAAGCTTTGTTTATCTGGAATTTTGGTTTCATTTTAATAACTTCATTGAATTTTCTTTTAGTAATATTTTTTTAGGATAAGTCTTCATTTTGAAGATAAATCTACACTTCTGGCAACACTGTCTTTACTCCAATCGCGGAAACGTAATTCGGTACGTTTACCACCGTTACTAAAGAATTTTGGTCATTTACCAAAACATGATTTCCGGTGTTGCCTTTATGCTGACTCGTCTGTGCCTATCAGTGCGCGCGCCCCAGCGTCTTTGTGGACGCCCTGCTGCCTCTTATTTATACATATCCATACATACATATGTATACTAGGGTCGTGCTTAAAATATAAACATAATGGGGCACCCCCTCATTTTGTGCTACGTACAAAATAACCCATCCCCGAAAATTTCAAAGCAAAAAAAAAAATATTGTAAAAATTTTTTTTTCTTATCGCGAAAATTCGGTAAAATTTTGGTTATGACCAGCTATAACTCAGCGAGTTTATGAATTTATTTCATATAAGTTTCAATAATATACCAAATTCATCAAATATTGAGTAGCTTTTTTTGGAGTTTTTGCGATTTAAAAAAAAATTATTATTTTTTTTTTGTAACTTTCAGGGAAGGGTGCGCCATACAAATTTGAGAAGTTGATGTTTATAAGGCCCAACCTTATGTGTACCCTTAAAGTCTTTCACGTCTCGCTGTGTTGTTGTGCCCGGAAACTGCATGCACTGCGGAAACATTAAGCGCAAACTTTTGTCTGTTCGTTGGTCGTAGCCAAGCACTCACTGTGCTGGCCTTCTTCGCCACGTTTGATTCCACATTAGTCGTTAATGACTTGGAATTGCTTGCACGTGACATACATTTAAACGATATTTACCGCCTGCATTGATGTTGGAATAAATATAAACAAAATTTGATTTATTTTTCTCGATATCTCAGTTTATTCGTAATGAGAAACATAAGAGGAGATAAGATCGTGTGGGAAAGATCTTTTTAAGGCAGAATTGTGTACTATATAAATCAATAATTTCATTCAATATCCTCCCAAGGAGGCACTAACTAGACTGAAGCGAAGTATGAGTGGTTGCTCTCTCTTCACTACGCAAGAAATATTCACCTCAGAATAAATTTTGAAGTGTAAAAGGCGGATACACCATTCACTTTCAGAGTACCAGGAAAGGACTACGTGCAAGCGTTGTGAATTAATGATTTCCGAGGTTTGACTATAAACAAAAGTATAAAGTCACTTTTACCTAGCGGAATCGTTTGGAAAGAAGATCTTTCTAAATATTGGAAGCACAGTCATATCTGGTACACCGACGACTATAAAATCGAGCATAGCACCGAAGGAAGTCATAGATATTGTCTCAGTAAAGAGGCAGCCCAGTGATTTAGAACTCTTCTTTGAACTATCTCGAGTCTGAAAAGCAAAACTACTTTATTTGGATAACCGAGAGGCCAAAACTTTCATATCGGAAATATCAGCTAGAAAATTCTAAAAACTTCTAAGCTTCAGTGGTATTTGAATAGTCGCAGTATTTCTAGTCTTTCTTGCAAGTCATTGCAAGGTGTCAAGCTTGGGTGAAGAACTGGATAGATTGATTGACAAATATAAAGAAGAAGTACGCACTGTCACCTCACACATTTATTGTGCCCTCTGCTTTTAACAATTTTAGAAATGTTTTCAGGGATAGGGTTCATCTGAACAGTAGCGCAGTGATACCAGATGGATGTTATGAACATACTCGGGCACAAATCACATTGTTGACGCTATGAATATCGCGTCTTACTACCTGTGACATCTCTACAAGCATTTCATGCTTTCGCCAGATAACCGTTTTATAGAAATAAGCATACAATTAAATGGGCAGACATATAAGTAAGTAGGTTTTAAAGGATTTTTTCTCGATGTTGAAAACTTATTGTGCGAAATTGGTACAATGTATTTTAATGAAAGTATTGCCCATGGCTAGTTGTGACTTTCTCCCACTTTTTGGCGTGTCTTTGGAGACCAAGAAAATATTAAGCCAATTTTTCATACCTCCAACTGAAGTTAAGCGTTCGTCTGAACGACCGAAGCGAATGGTAGAAATGGTGGTGTAAGATCTGGGTTACAAGACGGTTGGGTTAGGACTTCCCATCCGATACCATACGGCTGAGCAATGCCATGGTGGAAGATCAATGACGTATGCTTGGTTGCTATTTCCGGCCGTTTATCCGCAATAGTTTACTTCAATCACTTCAGTTGATATCTGTAGAGAGTCCATGATGCAGGGTTCCTTTCTATTACCATCAAATGCAGAGCATTACCTTGCTGCCATGGATATTTGGCTTTAGCACCGATGATCCGGGTTCGCCGTGCTTAACGTACGTCTTCTTGCGCATGAATCTATTTTTCATTGCCGATTGACCATGCAATGCAAAAACGAGTTCGCTTTGTCCCATTGAATGAGCATTTAGGAAACAGTAGACCCGCCGTTCGAGACATCTTAACATGCCCGTCATGGTACATGGATCAGAGTATTCGGGAGAAAGATTCTGCAGTAGACTTAGGCTTCATTCTGATTAGGTTATGCGTTATGAATGAACGCAAATGCTCCAGCACCAAAGTTATTGAGGCCGCTTTAAATTTCTAAATTTGCTGACGCCAAATAACTACTTATATTCAGACTCTTCAAACACTAATGACCATCACAAATGAAATATACTTTTCAACACTTTAATCTCACAATGCATTTAAAACGAATTACAAATACACCATTCACTCACCTATCGCCGCCAAAATTGCCGAAGATATGACTACCAAATGAAGTAGGCGTGCTATGCAGCGCCGATGTGGGCGTGGTGCCGGACGATGTACGCGAAGTCAACGAAATCGGACCGCCAACCTCGATCGGTGAATCAGTGTGGCGCGAATTCGAAGTCGGGCTATTGGGACATTGTTGAGGCGTGGCACGCGCACTAGGCGACGGCGAACCAGCGCTAATCGAGCCAAGGGACTGTGAAGCCGATTGAGTGGTTAGTTGCGTGGAAGAAAGCGGACGTTCATTATCCGAGTCCATGGCATGCGGACTGGCCGATGGGGGACCAGGACTGTAAGAGCGTCGCAGCGAAGGTTCGTCATCGTCAATTTCGCCCGTAATGTCAGGCGATGATTCGCGACTGTCGCGAAGCTAAGGGGAAGAGGAAAAAAGGGAAAAAATTTAAGTTAAATACGTTACGTATGTAAAACAAAAAAGTCATTTGAAGTGGAATTTCGTTCGTAGCCTACCCACCTTATCCAGCGAACCGCTACTCTCGCCATTCTCGCGCTTGCGTTGCTCATCCTTAAGGCGTTCGGCTTTGCGCCATTTTGCGCGGCGATTCTGAAACCAAACCTGCAATAATAAAAATGGCGTAAATTCCACTTGAGTGCATTGTGTATGGCATGACTCCCAGCGAAGGGATGTCCAAAGACAATTTACAATAATTTTATATATCACCACTGCGACTTTGTGCGGCTTAGAAGTTAGCCAGCGGGCGTGGATGTGAAAATTGAAATTGGAAAAGTTTTCTGCTTCAGAGGCGCATACACCCACACACACACATACGCTCAAACAGACAAGAGTAAAGGACGAAGAATAATAAAAAGCAAAGTATAAATGCATATCATACAAACAATAAACCCAATTTCAGAAACTTTATCAATTTATTTATTATATGCCCACATGCGCACACATCCTGCAGGCTCGTTAGTCAGTTAACTCTGTGGAAGAATGTGGCTTACGAAAATGAGGAAGGCTGTATGCCAACTCGGCTAACTCCTTGCTACTTTCATTTATTCTTGTTTATGCCACTGTTGCAATCAAAAATAAATTAATATTAACAATGCAAACAACAACAAAATACAACAAACAATTGTTTGGTGCAAAGGAAAATTGAAAAAGTGGCAGGAATGCAGATGAACACAGAGACATCGGCTTGCGTTGGTGCGTTGATATGGTTGTTGTGGCACTTACATGCAGACAATGCCATTAATTTAGCCAATCATTTCCATTGTTTAGACAGTAAATAGTCAAATTTAAGCGAGAAATGTGGAAGTGGCAAGAATGAGTGAATGTCGTGACGAACAAACAAAATCTTATTTTCAATTTACTCACACAATAATCTGGGTAATAAAATTTGGCAAACAAGAAATTCGGTAAATAAAAGTTCTCCAATTTGAATTAGAAAATTTTGTGTGGGGTTGAGGCGATTTCGCAAAAGGCGTGATATTCAGCGTCATGAGACAAGTACGTTGGAGCTTCATACGGTTCTAACTTCTAACAAGATTTCAGGATTCCCATGTTGTTGTTGTTGTAGCGGCTACTAAACCCCGTTCGAGTCTGCTCATCCATCTGCGTTGTCGTCTGGTTCAGCTAAGGGAAGGCCCAGGAAGTGCGCGACTCCAACAAGGGCTGTTCATAGGGACACGTGCGTTAGCTGTTCCGGGTTTTCGGGGTATGCAAAGAGATGTCTCTCCGCATGCCGGGTACGACACTGATTGGGCGCATCTTCATTGATTCTATTCAGGTATGAGTTTAGCCTGCTGCAATAGCCAGGGCGAAGTTGGGCAGGTCTCCCGAGGCAGGCAAAGTTCTGTTCCGTCCATGTCAGGTGGTTGTTTGCCCAAAACGGCACTCACAGGTCGAGAGTATATATAACTCGTGACCGACTCCCTGTGAATCCCGTTTATGGAATGTCGGTATGAAGTTGAGTCCAGACATGGGCGTAGCCAGGTAGGGGCAGGGGGTGCTCGAGCCCTTCCCCACACCCCTAAATTTCATTCTGGCTACGCCGATGGGTCCAGAGGTTGTTTCATGAACCTCTGGACTTCGTCCGTCAGTTCGTAGAGATGCCTCCTGACGTGCCTGCATCTGTGGCACTCTACTAGGAACTGCTTGTAGAGTATTGTGTTATGCTCCTTAGTGTCCCCACTCCCGCATCAGGGCCTCGTTGTGCAGGTGTGTTGGGGCGGCATCAGAAGACATCCAGTCGCAGTCCGAGGTGCCGCCGTGTTTTGGCTACTCTGCAGCTTCATCCTCTGCGTCCTACTAGTCCTCGGTAACCACTCGGACGCTGCATAATTTAGAACCGGTCGGCCAATTGTCTTGTATGTTCCCAACCACGTCTCTTTGTCTTTACCCCAAGTGCTGCCGGCTAGCGACTTGAGGACGTTGTTGCGGCTCTGTACTGGAGTGCAGACTGTCGAAGGTAACTCCGAGTATTTTTGGGTTATTCACCGTCGGAATTAGTTCGCCATCGACGTGAATACCCAGCTGCAGTCTGACCTCCTTTGACTAGGTGGTGAATACGGATTTCCATATTTAAGGATGGATGATAAAATTGATATTTTTATAAAATACAACATTATTTCTAAGATTTTTTTGAAATCTTTTCCTTCGACAATGTATTCATGGTCCTAACTGGAACGTCTTTCTGGTGCTCGCTTTTTCTAATGCCGGAGGAGCACATCGAACTTCTTGACGAAGTTTTTAACATTTGGTTGGTTGTAATGACTTCTGAGGACTGTTTAGACTTCATAGAGAAATAGTATCTCCTCCAGACTTATTGTGCAAACTCCCTATAGTTAATTAAGTAGGCTTTGAATTTCTGAAAGCAATATTTTTCGAAGAACTTGCTAGTACTTATACTGGAAACTATCTCAGTTGGAGAGAATGACTGGATTTATCGAAAGCTTTGGAAGCTCCCGAAAACCAATCACCAACTAGGTTTCTGCCTATTTTGCCTATGATGAAAGTAACCAGTTGGATCAGTTAAAAGTCTTGTAACGATATGAACTCACATGCTCCTGCTACGGAATTCCGGTCCCTCATTAATGCCATATGTCTTCAATAAAAAGTGTTCTTCTGTTTTCTACATGGTTTTGTTTCAACAGCTTCTACATACATACATATACATATGTAATTCAAGGTAGGCGATGCCCAGCATCTGGTCAATGCTCTTATTGGGAACCAATACAAGCCTTTCTACGACTAACGGAATCAACGTATGGATAGGTGCAACCATGTTTATCATATGCCGTCTCCCCCAGAAAGGCCTTCGAAACTATATTAAATTTTCTTCCTATCGACCTTTACGCTGGATATCAAGCCAGCTGCCCCGTAACCAGATTGAAAACCGGACACTTGGACAGACCTCAGATTCGGTCGGTCAAAAATTCTGGGCGCCATTACAGCAACCCTATGCAAGCTGGATTATACGAGCTCAATTTTTTGCTTCGACAATAGGTTTTTATAAGGTTTTCAGACAGAAGCGACTGGGTAAAGCACCCGTACATGTATCCAAGGTCTACAGCCATCTGGGTCAAAGCTCGACCACAAGGGTAGTAGCGGAATTTACTCTAAAGACCTCTCACTAAGCCGCAGCTTGCGGCTTCCTGACCAGTGTAGCGTTTTCCAGGCCGAACTAGCAGCCATAAGAGAGGCCGCCCTTTGGCTTAATAGCACCGCAACTTGTCTACTGTCCGTTACCATTTATTCTGGCAGCCAATCTGTGAAGGATTCAACCTGTTCCGTTACTATTTAAGCAGATCTGGCCAAGTACTTATGAAAGAAAAAAGATCTAAAACTTTCATACGTATGGATTGATAGCGTAGTAGACGGTATCATTACAGGATACTGCTTAATGGGAGCGCAAGTTAAGCGAGTGGGCTATCCCGATCACTGTAGTGGCTACAGGGACAAGGGGAAGTTGTAGAGTGTAGAGCACTGTCTCTGCCACTGCCCAGCTCTGGTAAGATCACATTTTATTATCTACATATGTATCTTTACATAGTATAAAAGAAAGTCGAGATTTTTTGTACGCGGTAATCTCGAAAACTACTGAACGGATTTTGACAAGATTTTCTCTGGTATACCCTGCATCTACAGGAGAGTGACGTTTTATACTTAGAATTTTAATAGGGTTTCCAACTGTCTAAAAAAACTATTAGATCCGCACCGTTCGTTGGATTACAAAAGATGAGGTGTCAAATGAAAGGCATTGGCCTCTATAAAACCAATAATATTTTTTTAATAGGGTTGCCACCTGTTAATAAAATTACTATATTCAATCATAATAAGCGTAGGCATCAGTTCTGTACCATCACTGTCAAACACAAAGACTTAGTCTCTACATGTGCAATAATGTATTATTATTCTGAGTAGGGTTGCCACCTATTAAAAAGTTAAAAGAATTTCGTTCGTTGGATTACAAAATCATATACCAAATGATTGGTCCTGGCCTTCGCATGTGCAAAAGCTTTCATTTTTTTAATAGGGTTGCCACTTATTTAAAAATTACTATCTTCAATACATAGTATAAAGGAAAGTCGAGATATTTTTTCTCAAAAACTACTGAACAGATTTACACGAGATTTTTTAAGTATAATCTGTATCAATATTAATATTATATTTAGTAAATTAAATTCTTATAGGGATGCCACCTGTCTAAAAAATTAATAGATCCGCACTGTTCGTTGGATTACAAGAAATGTGGTGTCAAATAAAAGCGTTCGGCTTTTAGATGTTCAATAATGTATTACTTTTTGAGTAGGGTTGCCACATTTTAAAAATTATAAGATCTTCACAGTTTGTTGGACTAAAAACTGAGGTACCAAGTGAGAGGGTATGATCTCTGCATGTGCAGTATGTTTTTATTTTTTGTTTGAGTGTGGTTGCCACCTATTTTAAAATTATGTATGTATAATACGCGTGGGCACTTTTTGTTAATGACATTAGATTTGCACAGTTCATTCAATTTAAAAAAATGAGGTGTCAAAGGAAAAGGCTTGACCTTCCGATTTGCAGTAAGCTTATTTTTCGAAGAGGGTTGCAACCTTTGCCAAAAAATTAAAAAATATGTGAAGGGACAAAGAGCTCGCTAGTAGTGGCATCGTAATGGATGGAGTGTGCCTCTTTGCTTGACTGCGCCGAGAGGGAACCGCCGTAACCGAACTTAATCTACGGGCATGTCTACCCCACATTCATGCTAAAGATTCTGCTCAAAGTTTAATGAAACAATCAGCTATTCATTTCCATAAAACAATCCAATTTACTTATGTAATGTGTAGTTATGGAAGTATGTACTCATGTATGTATATTTACCTACAGCTTATATGCAGCTGAGCACTCATTCATTATTTCCGATTTTCGCTGATTCGTGGCAGTCTAATGGGATTTGTTAGAGACAATTGTATGCCGACATACTACATAGTGAGACAATTGAGAGGAAGCGGGCGGCAACTAAGCAAGGATGTGAGAACCTAAGGCATTAAAGGTATGAATAATATGTGATAGAAGATGACGCCAGCTTGGCAGCCTTCAGTGGCGCGATGGCAACTGAAGGTGGATTGATA